TTAATTTGAATAGTTTTACTTTAAGTCTCTACGTCAAAGCTAACATTTCCTTCAGGCCTGTGGATCGTGAAGTGCACAGGCAGTGCAGGTCTCATTTTTGGAGGAATGTGTAAAGGAAATAGAACTGAAGATTGATAAACAACCCTGGACATATTGGTGCCCAAGGAAAGCAGATCCTTTTTGCATTGAACGAGCAGGGCAAAGCTGATGAGGAAATGAAGGCACACTGCCACAGAATGAAGGGAAAAGATGGGCTCAGCCCACTGGAGAGACTTACTAGGGTTCTCAGAAAAGGGACGAAGATGACAATATTGGTGGCTTCTGACCCAGAATGGTTTTTGTGTTAGGGCGAGGGGCCCTACAGATACCTGATGCACACCATTCCACTTACTGCTCAGGGAGCAGTGAACATGTGTGTACCTGTCACATCCAATCTTATTCCAGGGTCGCAGGCACTGGACCATCAGCATTGCCCTGCACTGAGCTGCTATTGGCATTTTGGAATAGCAGTGGCTGTGAGCTTCTCCCGAGGTCATCCCACGTCCAGCCCTTGTTGCTCAGCTCCCAGACCTGGGTTTCTAGTTCTCCTGGGGACTCTGCACTACCTGATTCATTTCCTTTACCAAATTCTTACATTTTGTTGTTTTCAAATAAAAACCCAGAAATCGATGTGTGTCAGCCCTTCTCACTTATGCTTAAAAGTTTCACTGCATTCTCTACATCTGTATTAGCTCATGTTGTTACTAAAAGCTTATGAAATAGAACATTTGTCTTAAATTATGTCTTATCTACCAAACTGATTAAAAAAAAAATCAAAACAGCTAAATTAAAATAGTAGATGCATTTGGAACAATGGTTAATATAAATAATAATTAGGATAAAATCAGGGTTCTTTTACTCTTTCTGCATAAGCTCTAATTAGAAAGATATTTTGCGATTCATCCTGGATATTCTCAAACCCTGTAGAGTCAGATGTTAGATGGTCTCAATTTGCACTAAAGCTCCCTAAATGCTTCTCCAATGGTGCCCATGGCTAGTTCACAAGGCTATCATTTGTGCAGGAGCTGCTTTCATGAAGAAAAAGAGGGAAACAATTAGTGTCCACGTCAGGATACTGGAACCACTACAGCCTGGTTCTCTTTGATCATGAAAGACTCTGTTTTATCAGCAAGTGAAAGAGTAATTCCCTCTCTCTTAACAACAGAAAACCATTTTAAAATCTTAGTGCTGACTTTGAGAAGCACTTAGAGTGAGAATAAAAAGCAACAGCAAATGATCTAGTTTCATCTCAAATACTGGAAGTGACGAGTCATAATCTTTCGGCCATTTCCCACGTGTGTATTCCTTACTCTTCTCAGCCACAAATCACACCAAAAAGTATGTGGTATATTTCGGAAGGAGCCACATTATAATTGAATGTATCATTCTTGCCTGAGCATTTGACTTCAGGGGAGATGGCTTAAAAATAAGCAATAGAGGCAGAGTTGTAACAACCGTAAGCTTCTCTAATAATAAATTAGAACACCAAATCTAAAATCAAACCAAACATCCATTGTACAATTACTTTATAAAGGGGCATCATTGCAGTATACAGTGACTATACTTGCTATTTCTATTTCTATCCCTGGAATTCTTTCTCGCCCAGATTTCCCCCGTCAGTTACTTTTTCTCTTTCACTTGAGTAGTTTCTGAGTGCAGATGATCTGCCTTAGATCGAATGAAGCCAAGCACAAGCAATACATGATTATCAATCACAGTTCCTGACAGTCTGCCCACTTCCTACTGCACTGTAAAACCACAGAAAAAATGCAGGATCCGTAACATGAATTTTTGGATGAAACGAGTCAATGCCCCTCGGAATTACTGAGGCAGCGCAGTCTCCTACGGTGGGTTGGGAGAAAGGGGACATGGGGCAGTTCCTAAGCGCTGGATGAAGTCAGGAAGGGTAGAGCTTTATGACTTCGCACGCTGAATATTTCCACTAAGAACACAAATCGCTGCTCATCATTTGTGAAACAGTTACTCCATGCGGTAGACAGTGCCATAACCATCCCTGGAACCCTTCAGATAACCCCCAAAGATAGGCCTTAGGTTTTCTTAATCGAGAGATGAGACAAACGAGGCTCAAGACAGTCAACTTGCCATGATCATCCAGCCAATAGGCAGCTCGGGCAGGACTGAAGCCTGACCTGTCTCAGAATCAGTGGAGCTCTACATCTGCATCCACCAGGCATCACGCAGCACAGTGCCGGAGGCCTCGGTGGAGGCGGAGGCAGAGGTGGCGGGGGCCAGAGCCTATGGAGGAGGGTTTCAACCCGGGTTGCCAACCTGCTGTCTGCATGGCCTTAGGGAATTCCATGGCACTTGCTATCCGTGCCTGGGTCTCCCATTGAATTGCCTGCCATGCTTTTTCCCACACAGACTGTGGATGAGGGGCCAAAGCACTCGGCATACTGCCTTTCAGACAAGATCATTTGAGAAGCCACTGGTATGTCGGTAGCCACAGATGGTCTGTCCTACTCAGTGCTGCCCAGGGCTGCTGCTAGACAGAACACTCACATGCCCCTTGTCACTCATGTAAATTGGGCTTTGAGTTGGGCCTCGATTTACATCGATGTTTCTTAATATGAGCACAGGAACATCTACCCTTCTGGCATGGAAAATTAAAAGTAATATAATGCAAGTAACATATTTTTAGAAACAACGTCTTTTCAAAACAATTTCTCTCTTGTGAATTAAAAGACGTGAGCCTTCTATGCAGCATCCTTTATTCTTAAAACCAGAGATGATGAAATCTGTATGAACAGTCACATGTCATGCCTGGTAGACTTAGGTTCAAGTATTCATACAGATGTGAAAAGGAAGAGACAGTTTCCAGAACATTTAAGAGTCTTTGATGGGACATGTTTCTACAGACTCCTGTGTTTGAAAGAATGTGGCCTAATGTGGACCATCTAATATCTAACCCCCTGCGACATCATTCTTTGGTCAGATTTAAACACCACCACCCACAGGCACACCTTTCCCGCCCTAAGCATTACCCTTCTGCAGCTCTGTCTAGACTAGCTTTCTTCTGTAGCTTGTGCTTTAAATGAAAAGCTGCCAGCTTTTCAATTAGTCTGAGTGTGATGCTGCAGGTTCATAAGTCGCGGATCACATTCTGTAAGGTATCTTCACAAAAGCACATTACAGGGTGTTAGGAAGGGAGACATATTTGAAGCTGTATTACGGTTATGAAGTTCTGCAATGAGGCCATCTAGTTAACTAAACCATCATATCAATTAAGAAATCAGTTTAAAAAGCACCCCCTTCTCCAAATCCCTTTCCAGGTATTAAGCACACAATTCAGATTTTCTCAGAGAGGACACACACTGAAGGACTTGCAGAGACTGGCAAAGATCATCAGCTTCATAAATGGGTCACTAGCCGAGGATGCCTCAGAGAAGGGGAGGATGCCGAGAAGCCGCTAACCCTCCTGAGGAATAAAACACTGAAACAGACTAAGAGTTCAGATGCGAAAAGGTACTTCATGACCTATGAAGTATCTATTTCATGGGTCATGAACTATCTATTCTTGCATCTTTCTCCAGCTTGCCAAACTTTGTAATTTCTTCAAATGAAGAAGAAACTATACAGAAGTATTTTTAAAATCTACAGAAGTCAAAGCATGTGGCCTTTTTATTATGCTGTCTGAAATGTTCCTCTTTCAAAGATGTTAAGGACTGCAAAGTCTGCAGCATTTAAGTTTTCCCTCTTCCTCCATGCTTTAAACAAAATCGAGTTTTACAGCCCAGCTACGTATATCAACCAGTGGGTACATGGTGTGCCTCCTGAGAATGTTCGTCAGGAGTTTTTAAAATAATTTTTAAAATTTCAATTTAAGATATATAAATGAATAGATACTTAGAGAGGTAGACATACACATTATACATGTGGTATATAATTTCATTGCTTAATTCTGACCCTAAAGGGTTGAAAATGTTTTTTCCAAAAAACATTTTAATAGAAACATCGGGGAAAAACCAATATTTTTCATATATTGTTAAATAAAAAGTGCCCAGTTGTTTGCTGGAATATTATTCTTTTGATGAGCTGAGCCACCAAGCAGCCACACACGCTGCAGTTCAGTGTTCACGTCCAAGGCCAGTTCAACTGGGTGAGTGAAAGGTATGCACAGAGCAGTGTGTTAGCTGCTTTCAAAGCCTGGTTTGAGCCAGACATAGCCCTTCACCTGGAGAGTATGGCTCAGGTAAGATGAGCCAGGCAGCCCAGGAGAAGGTGGAGCGGAGTGGCCTGCTGAAGTTTGAAGGTGGCTCGGGTTGTGGGAGGGAGGGACTGAGAGGCAGGGAGAGGCATTCGGAAATTAATCTTGAGGGGCAGGTGGGAATCCTTCCAGGAGAGGTCTTACAGGTGGGAGCAGGGAGCTGACGCTGTGGGTGAGGGAAAGTGGTGATGAGTGGGGGGGGTGGGTCACAGAATTGGGCATCTGTGGAGCGCAGTGGACCTGCAGGGCAGAGGCAGAGCAAACATTAGAGAGGTTTCTGGAGCCACACAGTGACAGGCTTTAATGACAGCGTGATGAGTTTGTTGGAAACTGAGGGATTTTAATCAAGAGAATGTCACGATCTGAGTTGAGCTTTGGTACAGAGTTTCCTTACATAGCACAACCTCTCCCCATCATCAGTGATCCCAAGGCTTCTGGCCTGCTTGAAAACGGGATGGGAAGAAAATGAGTCAAAATTGCTGAACCTCCATTGCTCAACCTTAGAAAATCCTCGAAAACACAGTATGCTCAGGAGAACTGGTGACAGGCAAACTCGTTCTAAGAGTCAAAATGGGAAAGAAGATGGAGATGCTATAAATACCTACCTCAGGAAAAAATATAGACAGTTTTAAAAAGTTGCCGTATGTGCATGTAAAAGCAGGTCACGTGTGGCTAACGTGTTTCATAACTGGGCAGTACTACAAAGCAGACAGGTCAGGGTAGCAGCCTCAGCCAACTCAGTGCCCAGACGCTGCGCATGCAGCAAGCTTCTCCTGATTCAGCTGCACCTTAAAAGGAAGCATGCCGGCTAGCGGATAGCTTGTCATGAGTTTGTGACACGTGAAACAAAGCACTGTGATAAGGGGTGGATTTCTCAGTAGATGAGAATTCAAATGGTGTTGGAACACAGAACTCAGCCTCATTCCACATCCTCTTGGTGGTTCAGTAAACAGAGCAACAGAAAGCAACGGGGAAACTCTGGCGCAGAACTGTGTCTGTGCCGACGACATATCCCATCTCAGTGGACCTGAGTAAGATGGAAGGAAGTGCAGAGAACAGTACGAATTGCAAAAGGAACAAATGACGAGGACCTAGATCCCAAAGCCCAGTGATGCAAGCGTAGAGTCTGGTGGACAGGAGAGGGCAGGCTTCCCTGAGTTTCCAGTCTTCCTGGCCCCTAGTTCATGTCTGGCTGCCCTTACGGAGGTTGTCAGAAGGAGCAGAGTTGTCAGACCGTCCTGGGAAGAGGCGAATCGGCTGTCTGCAAGCCCAGGGCCGGCACGCAGAGGAGAAAGTCTTGTGTGGTGGAAAAGCTCCAGGTAAAGGTGAGGGAGGGGTGCCCACACTGGTATTCACAGCTGCGATTTTTTATGACAGTTTATAGAAAAATTGTTAAAACTGTCAAAAAAAGGAGCATGTTGCCTCTGGCAAACACTGCCAAGTGTTCAGTTGACTTCAGGTCCCTGCCAGCCTTCCAAGACTAACAGTGACGTGTGACATGAGGCTTGGCAGCTGACTCTAGATAGAGCCTCTGAGTAGCTCAGGTGGCCGGCTTCCTGTCCTCATGTCCCAGGAGTGGCCGACCTCAAGGACAGTGTGCAGAGATGACAATGAGGCCTTGGCAGGCGTGGGTCTCCAGCACGGTGCTCCACCCAGAGCGGAAGCGGAGGTCCCCTTTCAAAGCCTCGGGACACCACAGCTCTGAGCGAGGTCACTCGGCAGTAAACAGCTGCAGTAGCTCTTAGATAACTTAGAAAACAGACCGCTCTCGCTCTCAGAGGGGAAGTATTTCCTGCAGACATTTCTCCCTTGAGGGCTTCCCGCCCACCTCAGAAGCTGCACCCAAATCCTGAGATCTGGCAAGAACCATGGTTTTGAGATGTAATTTATACAACTGTTTACACACAGCATCTGCTGGGGCAGAGATGGTGGTTGTGTGCAAGCCACAGCTGTGACTGGAGCAATCTGATGACAGTGAGCTCATGGTGTCCCCAAGGAGGCCTTTGTGAAGTACTTGACATAATTAAAATTGGGAGGAAAATTAGGTCAGACAACCCGGGGTGGCTTAGGTGAAAGGCCTTCAGAGCTCCCAGCTCTGTCAGGCACTGTCCTAGGAAGTGCACTGACATGCAAAGCCACACAGTCTCCACTGAGGAGCAGTGCCCCAGACACGCTGAGAGATGCTGCTTTCCATTCAGAGTGGTCACCACTGACGTCTCTGACAAAACTGGTAGTCTCCTGGCTGGGTCTCTTAGAAAAAAATTTTTTTTAAAGGATTGAAACAGTAAGATGCAGCTCCCCCTTGTATTATCTGTAAACACCAGCACATTTGATGCATTTCAACTGGTCTCTAAGGTTTTAAATACAATTCATTACCCTATCCTTTTCCACTAAAAAGTTTCCACTTATAATGTTGAGAATTGAATTCCTTTGTCTTTTTTTTTTTTTAATTGCACATCTGTTCATAGAGGTTGGCAAAAGACACTGGAAGTGATTGTGAAATTCACATCGTGATTCCTCAGAAATCAGATCCTGGGAGGGAGTGCCCAGAGCTGTGGTCAGGAGGACATCCTCCCCTACTGTCTCAGGAGTCTGCCTGTGCAGCTCCCAGCCAGGCAAGATGCCCTCAAGGCAGAGTCCCAGGTGGACACAGCTGGGTGCTGCCCTGGTGGTGGACCCCGCGGTGTCTCCACTATGGCTCTCAAGGCTGCAAAGTGCCACATACTCTTTTCCAGCCAGCTGAAGAAATACCCGCTCCATGTGGGACTGCATGTCCTGCTTAGCGATTTCAAGCAAGTATTTCACCTTTTCATAGGCAGGGACGTTGCCCTCATCAGGGCTTGCACCATCACTCTGATTTCCAATGCAGACAGCCAAATGGAGGCTTTTAATTCTTAAAAGAAAGTGGCATTGAAAAGAAAAACTCACCCATCTCATGGTCTAAAACAAAGCAAAACAAGTCAGTTGGTTCTGCCTAACCCCACACAGCATCTGTTATGTAATCTGAAATTTCTGTGTAATTGAGTGCGATGTGGTTTCTTTGTAGCATTCTGGGCATGGAATCCTGATCTGCTAATTCCAGAGACTGAATCAACAGAGGAACACAGAGAAAGCCACCCTGATGTGTGAGAAGGACAGGTAAGAATGAGCACACAGAGGGGTGTTTTGGAAATTGATTTTCATCTCCTGAGACCCTGGGAAAGGAGTGAGAAAGTAGAGGGAAAACATGGACATTTATGAAGAGCTGGGAGAAACCAGGTTCTCATCACTTTCCAGGGCCTCTCCGGAGAGGCCACCTGAGGCTCTGGTCTGACTCCCCACTGCCTTGAAACCAGAAGACTCTGGGAGTCGGGATCAAATCACTCTATCTCACAGACAACACTGGACACCTTTTATGGTTTAACTGGTTCACATACTATTTCAACTACTTTGTTGAATCTTTTCAGCAAGTGGAGGAAACTGACACCTTGAATCACAAAAGGCTGGCAGTGTGCAGGGCCAGGTTTGCCTGTTCTTACTATTTGTTTGCTGACAAGGCAAATTAATTATTTTGCTTTTATATTGCTAGAGGAACATGTTATTTGACACAAAATTAGGATTATAGAGAAGCAAACAGAAAAAACACCAACATGCATACAGTACTTGTATTTTTCAGGAATCTTTTTATATATACACAGTAATACACATAGCTATATTTCTATATACACAGTAATACACATAGCTATATTTATTTACAAAAGTGAGATTTTACTCCACATATTTTTAACGCCTGAGATTTTTTGTTTTCATTTAACAACATAAAGTTTTGTAAAGCAAATATTTATCCAAAAATACTTTCTACCGACTGAAGACTATTTCACCCTATGGAGTTGCCATCCAGTCCCGTATCTGAGCAGTCCCTGACTGTGGGAAGGCCACCCTCAGGAGAGAATAGCTCTCCCCAGCTCCCGCCCCCAACCCCTCCCCCACGACCATCCCCTGCCCCCCCCCCCATCTCCGCCTCACCAGTCCCATTCCTGCCAGTTCTGGCTGCCGGAAGGTTGCAAATTAGTTATTCAGAGAAACACAGGCTATTTAGGTTTTAAAAAAATCAATGAGCTTTCAGTTTCTAATGAAGCTACCAACACCCTAATTTTTTCCCTGTCTTCATAGTCTGCAACCAATGGAGGCTAAGGATAAAGATTCCTTTCTCCAGCAACTATACTGTCATGCAAAGCAACTCTGGGGTCTGCATGAGAAGAAATATGGATTTTATTTATGTTAACAGTAGTTACTGCTGAGAGGCACTATTTGAGAAGGTTTTCATTATATTTTAAATTATTTTTTAAAATCTCCTATGATAATCATCTACACTTTTCTATGGAATAATAATGGAGTGAGTGTCATATTTTTAAAAGTTTGGGGAGAGATCAAGATGACAGAAGCGCATGGAGCAAAAAAAAAAAAAGTTTAGATACATTTAGGTGACATCAATAAAGCCCACTTCTGTTTCTACCAAACAGGATCATCCTATAGACATTGTTGGGTGAATTACAGAACCCATCTGGGCTGTCTCTGGCTGGGCACATCAAAGTCCATCCTTGCTGCTGTGCGGTCCTTCCCTGGGGGACTGGCTGCAGGGGTGGACACAGGGTCTGTGGGTCCTGGGTCTCATACAAATCAGATACAAAGTGACATGTATATTTAGAAGGAGAAATCATACAAATGAGACAAAATGTTTTCCTTATGCAAATTTCATAATATAAATGATAGACACAGCCAGTGCACTGTTAGGACCCCCAGGCCCTTGGAAGGGGCTTCGTTAATATTATGAGGGATTTACAATAGATCCGGTCCAGGTGAATGCACAATCGTTTACTTCTTCATTTTCTCTTTGATGGATATTTTGGCTGGTTACAGTTTTATTTTGCAGTTTTATTGTTTCCTATTAAAAAAAAACACTGGGAAATAAGTTTTATCGGGGGAGCCTTTGTTAGCTGAGGTTACTATTGTGATGGCTGTGTGACCTTCCCTTCCCCCATAGTAGATCTGAGAGCATCCAGGCCATCAGGCAAGGAGGGTGGAGGAGGCTGGGATTCTTCGTTCCAGGCAGTACTGCCTTGAAGAAGTGCTTATCAAAGACACCACTGGAGTCATCTGGGAGTGCTTGTGAAAACTGCAGATTCCCGGGCTGTGGAACTGGGGCAGGGCACAGAAATACGCATTTTGACAAACATCCTCAGTAGCTTCTGCACAGGTTAGAATTCTAGAACCGGCGACTTGGGCTTCAGAAGGAGCACAGGTATGCGGCCTTGGGCAAACCATAATTTCAGTTCAGTCTCCTTACCAGGGAAAGGGAGCCAGGTATACTCGTGTGGAGGACGGGTGAGGAGCTGGGGCAAAGAACAGACAGCACGTTCATTCCATGCCGGAGCTGCATTTCCCGAACACTTGCAGTAGCCTCTGGATTTTAATACAGAACCTAGGTAGCCCTCCCGTGACTCCAGGAGGGACCCTGTGCCCTGCCTGGCTTTAGCAAGGACACAAACCGCTGTGTGCCCACGTCCCTGCAAGCTGGCCTGAGCTGACGGTGCAGTGTGAGGGAGCCCGGGGATGGGGTGTTTCTTTCCAATGGGACTAACACGTGTCCACTTCATAAAAGTGGCCGTGCAGCGGTTCCCACAGGGCAGCGTGGCCGGGAACTCCTGAGCAGTCCCTTTATTTCAGAGTGGAAAGGCATTTTGTTTTCCCTGATCCCTGAGTTCCTGATGCTTCCTGTCTTCCTAGAAGTAAAATGGCCATAAACCGAACTTGTCACAGGTGACCTCTGGCATCCTATTCCCATTGCCTGATGTTATTTTTACAAGGGAGCCGAAAAGATGAGCAGGATTTCAAATCTGGCTCTGGCCTTCCCCACTGCATGTGCAGAGGTCTAGTCCACAGGCTGGCCCAGAGTTAACTCGACAGCAAATCTAAACACACGGGACACACATCACAGGATTCTTAATCATGACCAGACACCTGGTGAATACAACTGGAGAATTAAAAATCTGAGGCATGTGTAACAGTGTGACGTAGAAGATTTCCCAGAGAAAAGGCTGGGTCTGGGAATAAGGTAGAAAGGGATGGAGTTACAGCCAGAGGGTCAAGGATGCACTTCTGTGCTTAACGCACCTGGAACTGTATCTTCACTTTCTCTTCTGTAAAAAGTGGACAGAAACAAAGCTTCTCTTACTCCTCCTGAACTAGCTAATGTTACTTTAACTGCGTGTGTGTGTGCCTGTGTGTGTCTGTGTGTCTCTGTGTATGCCCGTGGCTGTGTGAGTCTGCCTGTGCCTGTGTGTGTCTGTGTCTCTGTGTATGTCTGTGTATCTCTGTGTGTTGTGTGTATGTCTCTGTGTGTATCTCTGTGTGTTCTGTATATGTCTCTGTGTGTATCTCTGTGTGTCATGTATGTCTCTGTGTATCTCTGTGTGCTGTGTATATGTCTCTGTGTGTATCTGTGTGTTGTGTTTATGTCTCTGTGTATCTCTGTGTGTTGTGTATATGTCTGTGTGTATCTCTGTGTGTTGTGTGTATGTCTCTGTGTGTAGCTCCGTGTGTTGTGTTTATGTCTCTGTGTGTTGTGTATATGTCTGTGTGTTGTGTATATGTCTGTGTGTATCTCTGTGCGTTGTGTATATGTCTGTGTGTATCTCTGTGCGTTGTGTATATATCTCTGTGTATCTCTATGTGTTGTATATATGTCTCTGTGTGTATCTCTCTGTGCTGTGTATATGTCTGTGTGTATCTATCTCTGTGTGTTCTGTATATGTCTCTGTGTGTATCTCTGTGTGTTCTGTATATGTCTCTGTGTGTATGTGTCTGCATGCAATCCTTTGAGTCAATAATTTATTTTCTCATTGTATATATCAGAGAATTGTGTCTCTAGAGGGAAAACTGGCCCACACTCCCAAGCTGCCCTGTGCAAGGAGCTGTGTGTTGAACCAGGACTGCCTTTCCCAAAGAACAGGGCCCATTTCAGGACCCACTGAAGCAGCTTCAGCAAAATGATTGTGGCATGCCTGCCTCTGAGAGGGTGAATAATGACAATGACAGTAACAGCTGTCAACCTCACTGGGCCACCCTCCCCACTTACTCCTCACAACAGTCCAGTATTCGCTCCAATGTACAGAAAAGGACACTGAGTTTTGAGCATTTGAAGGTCGCATGGTGGAGGCCCAGTGGGAAAGCGGAGAAGAGGGAAGGTGACCCGGCCAGCAGGGCTGCTCTGTGTCTTGTGGGGCCTGCAGCTTTTTCAGCTTTTGCAATTAGAGCAGAGCCCTGCAGGAGAGGCCTTGGCGTGAGCTGTGCTAGCGTCAGGGAGAATCCACCTCTGTGTCCTCGCTTTCAAAAGATGAATATTTTTTTTCTATTTTATTAGGAGAAATAAAAACCAGCGATAAGAGAGCGCTGAGATAAGGCTGCTGGCGCCAGGGAGCGACGGGGTTTAGCACCTACAGAGAGCTTATGGTTGCCGCTGCTGCCCTGGGCCCTAATTGCTGAGATCCAAAATGGTGAGAACGATTCTGCTAAATTGTTTTGGGTCTAGATTCTAGATTTCAAAAAATATTTGCTTTACCTGCCAAAGAGCAGGATCTGTCTAGAGTCTGTACAATAAATACAAGGGAAAACGTAATCTCGTGTCAATTAAGATGTATAGAAATACACTAAAGCACTATGGGCTTGTTTCTTTTTACCCTGCTTCTCTCAAAATGGATCTGTGATGGCCATGTAAATGCAAAGTCTTGGAGTATCCAGCGTCCATGAAAGGCGACGTTAGGAAGTTGTTAGGCTGCTCCGTTGTAACTTCCGTTTTCATTGTGGACTCCTAGTAGAAACCCATGACCCAGATGTTCTCACGCCTTCCTCCGAGGTCACTTGCAGTTTCCAACTCAAGGACTCTCCAAAGATACACGGATCAGCTGCCTACATCTTAGGCCCTTGAAAACATCTGGGCAGCTGGGTCTCCTGACAGGCCAGACCAGTCTCTCCAGATGACCAGTGGGTGGCAGGAGGCTGCACAATGTATAACCCCCCAGCCACCCCCCTCCCCCCGGCCTGGCAGCCTACGGCTCAGGAAGAGTTCTCTGCAGACTGCACGAACTTGGCTCTTGCAGCAGGCAGCTGCATGGATGACAGACCAAGAGCTATCTCTCCCGGGATAAGAAGCTGGATGCTGGGCGATGCCAATTCATTTTTCCCCTCATCAGTTAGTGGAAACTCACGTCCACAGATTGATTTTCAAAGGAATAAATGTTATCACCAGATGTCATCTGTGTAGCAGCCCCCTTCAGAAAAACTTTTCCTTGGTAATGGGGGAAATTTGACTTCAAGGAGCCAGTACGCAGCTGTGTACGATGGGTTTCATCTTTTTACATTAGACACGCTCTGTCGTGAGCTCTCAGTGACTTCACTTCCCATCTTGTGTGCAGCTTTGCCACCATCGCAACATAACTGATGCTTTATGAGGCCAGTTTCACGGTCGGCTGGCACCTCTGCACTCTCTGAGGTACCAGTGACAGTTATAATGGGACTGGCTCACCAGGCACCTGTGGCCTTCAGGCATGATACAGGCAGCCACAGCGCCCAAAAGAAACGTATGAAAGTGAGACCTGAGATCACAGACTAGCTTCATCTCCCTGAATTTATTCCATGCAAAACCAAAACAAAACAAAATGCCATCTACCAGCTAGAAGTTTCCATCAAAATCTGAATGAGTCTAAGTGCCGTGTTCACCTCAAAAATGACGTCTTTATTATTGACAGTCCACTGATATGAACAGAAATGACCATTTTTATGAAAGAAGATTTTATGATAGGAAAGGACAAGGGAAGTGGAGCGGAGGTGCACCACGGTCAGGAGAAGGTCCTCATTCTGTTCACCATCACCAAGGACTAAGGTGGGGTGGGCACTGGGGAGGGAGGGTGTGAATTCGCTCACACAGCTACCGTGAGATTCATTACTCACTGTACGATACTGAGTTTTGGCTATGAATTGGCCAGGTTAGTGATTCCAAAACAAGGTAACATAAAAATGACCAGCACAATTCCCAACACAAGAGCAACTCCATTTTACAAAAGCACAGAAAAACAACTTTCATCCTTTCAAACATGGAAAGCAGAACCCAAACAGACAAATGAAAGCAACAACAATAAACCGTGGAAGTCAGTATCTATTCTCACAGGACGTGACTGACAAGTGCATGAGAAGCTCGGTCCCAGCAGGAGAGTTTACAGGCTTACGTGCTGGAAGGAACCCAGTGGACCTCTGAGCTCATATTTTCTTCTGAATGTCAGTTAAGGAAATCAAGACATACATATGCTGAGTTTTCAAAGCCTCACTTCACTCTGGATTCTTTTGATTAAAGTAGAAATGCTCTTGTTTTGAGAATGCGGGCAATCTAGGAAAAGGCACATAAAGTAGTCAATTACATGAACTCTGTCCATGTGGATTTCAGACTTTAGAATTAATACTCTAATTGATTATTCTTAGAAATGCTAGCAATAAAAAGCTCCAAATTCCTAATGTCTAATCCAATCTCAAAATTGACAGATCTTAAGTAACATCATCAGAACCACATTTGTTATCTGCAAATTGCTGGAGCTACAGTGTCGGTCCCACACTGCCTGCTGGCCCTCCCCGGAGTGGCTGATGGCAGGGCAGGATGAGCTATCATTAGCTGGCACAGGGATGGCCTGCATCTACCTGTCATGGTGCTTGGTGACATCTGACACTACGAGCTTGTTTGGATCTGGGGGAGAAGGTATATGAACTTGATTCCATAAGGCTGTTTTGCTAAACGAAACAGCTTTCTTCCAAAACAGTCTTAACAACAATGTGATAAATACAGAAAACTGTTCTAGGGAGCAAATCAAAGTCATTTTATTTGCTGCATTTGTGGGGGTGGGTAAAATGTAAGAGGGTTGGGCTCTAAGCCTACTTTTGATTTGCAAGTGCCCTACACTGTGAAATCACCAGGAAATTAGAGCCTGAAATGTGGCCACTTATCTGCAGGCCTCCAAGTGAGGCAGGGGCTAACACCGCTGATGCAAATCTTGCCACAGTAATTAAGGCAAATGTTCAGCCTGACGGGGAGCCACCCAATCTCATCCTCTAGGGCACTCCTGGAGTCCTCAAATACATTGTAGGATTCAGCATCTAATGGAATTTTCAGACCAAATGTAAAAGGAAGGGACAGCTGGTTTACAAAATTTCACCTGCTAATCTTGTGCTATAGGCCCCGTTTTCCCTCTCATTCTGTTCTTAGCAGAGCAGGAGCTACAGGTAGCATGGAAGAACAGAGGCAGCCTGCACTATACAGTTCTCTGAAAATTACAGACTGCTATCCATTAAGGAGCAGTAAAGTCAAGTTAGTGTGTTGCAATCAGAATTTTTTTTCTAAAGAAGATAGAGTAGTCTAGGAAATGCTAGGAGTAGATTAATCATTAATAAACCTTCATTAGAGTAAGTATTGTTTTGCCAGACTTTAGTTCGCTCTCTCTCTCTCTCTCTCTGTCTCTCGTGTGTCTGTTTGTGTGTGTGTGTGCACGCGCGTGTTTGTACAGGTTCAGGGTTTGGATAAGTTGCCCTACCAGATAGATCCCCTCTGATCTGAAATCCTCTAAGTGCGAGTCTCCTCAGATACAGGCAGCTCCTCAGAGGCTGAAGAAGCCTGCCAGTGACACAAGCCTGCCATTGTCTAAGGTCTACTCCTGGGCCCTGCTTGCCACCAGTCAGGACCAGATTTTAGAACACAGTAGGGACTTGTATTGCCAAGGAATGGAACTCTTTCCACCAACAGCTTCGGCATTTCTCAGCTTGTTCAACTCTCCCTGGCTCTACTCTCTGGAAGGACGCCTTACTGCCTAAGGGAGGCAGGAGGGGTGCGGACAACCACAGGCCCCTCCCCCGCTGTGGCCTCGCCTCCCATTCCCCGGCTGATTACACATCTTTGGCTCACACATCCACATCTTTCACTGCATTAGGAACCACTACTGCCAGAACCGTTCAAGACAGTAGTTTTCATCACTTTTTACCCCATAGCAGATAATTACAAATGCAAGACTTGTTTATCATATTCCATCATTATAGCGTTTTTCCTGACATGATTGATCCTTTTCATTCGGAAGACCCATTTGGTGGAGCTGAGGGCATCCTCCTCCAGAACATGAAATTGTGCAAAGCCAATAAAAGAAAATTAGAAATAGAGGTCTTTGAATTAGAAATTGGGGTCAAAATACTGCCTCTGTCACTTGCCAACCGGGCGATCCTGCACACCGGTACCTCTCAGGGACAGCTGAGGAGTCAGATGAGGTCAGGACAAAGTGCTCAACACAATTCCTGATCCCCAGAGGAGCATCATATGTCTTGAAAAAGCAAAGTCACATTTAAGAACAGTCTCATATACAAAAGTATATTGTGTACCTCACAAAATACTCAAATACAGGTTGGCCCAATCAACATCAGAATGCATTTTTCAGTTCTTCAGGGTTAACATGAGGATTTCTTCCACAAGTAGGAGTATTTCACACTTTACTAGCTGCATTCCTTAAGCCAACATGACTGTCTTTAGAAGAAAGATGTTTTTAAAACGATAAGATATATTTTGAATTTTCAAACAGTTAGTTACATATGACTTTCTCAACAGACAAGGCCGGCCATTTCTTGGCATTTCGGGCCACATGTCTGAGTTCTGATTTTCAATCAGGGTTTAGCATAGTGTTTTTTAAGAAATTAGGTGAACCTTTTAGGTCATAAGATTTATGGTTTTAGTAAATCATGTGCTTTCCATCCTTTTAAATGCCTTCATGTTATACTTTATCATCTATTTTGCTTATATCTGAATCCTAAATAATATGGCCAAGTCCAGAAAATCTGCGTATACGACCTTGAAGAAAATGCACATGGGCAGCAAAAGACCCACGGTCTGGGAAGAGGCCCAAGGTCAGGGGCTTCCTGGCTGTGTGACCTTGACTGGTGCCCCTTTGTATTGCCATCTTGTTTCATCAGCAAACAAGAGCTGTGTATTCTGGAGATCATTTGGAGTTCTTTAAAAAAACAGAAAAAAGACAAGCTCATCAAAACTAAAAATGCATGTACGGCTCCTGAAAATATCCATCACCTAGGCTCACGAAGGTGAATTTGAACTGAATGAATCCTTTGAGCAGCTTGTATTGACAGGAAAGAGGGCATCCTGCATAGCAGGTCAGAGGGAGGCCCCATGAAGTAAACCCTGAGTGGGGGCGTCCCAGCCTGGCTGGGAAGACACGTGGGCTCTGGCAGGTCAGGGAAGGGTGAGAGGTGGGCCTGACTTTTGGATCAAGTTTCAGACAAACCACAGTGGAGGACACATTGTTGAGCCAACTGGAGATGTGTCAGTAGACTGGCTGTTGGGTGACATATGGCTAATTTTTAGGTTTGATGACAGTATTGTGATTATGTTTTAAAAAATCATGTTTTTAGAGACACACGATGTGAAATGGAGATAGTGTTGTAGGAAAAAATGGGGTTTCTTGGATGAGACGTGACTGGCCTTAAAATAGTTTAGGAATGGAAGGACAGATGTGGAAGAAAACAATCTTAATGATTTGGGGTTCTGCACGTGCATTAAAACTTATACCTGAAAACTTAAAAATTCTTCTATTGAAAATCTTATTTGAATGGCACCCACCGCCAGGCCTCCCTAGCAAGCCCTCCTGTGTGCACAGAGGAGCACATATGAACAGTGCTTCATGTACTGGCTGCAAAGCCCAGAACAAGCTTAATCCCCTTTTTAGTGACAGTCATGGAAGACGAGGGAGCCATTCCACGCATGGGACTGACTTACACATACTTCAGTTTAGAAAGCTCTCAAACAAAGTGAAATTAAGTTAAAAAAAAGCAAGAGGCAAAACAATATGCATGAATGACATAAACTCATTTGTACAAAAACGTAAACAAAACTTAAATGATTGACTTTTATTTCTACATATATTTGTATGTAAAATACACAGAAAAAATGCTGGATTCTTCCCTAACTCTTCACAGAGGAGTGAAAGCATGGTTCTTCCTTTTTACCCTCTCATTTCCTGAAATCATTATTCTTTTCACAAAGAGGAGTATTTTTGCATTATGTAATTAAAATACAGCCAAATAAATAAGCAAATAGAGGCAAAAAATGATGGAGGGCGTGGGAGAGGAGGCAGGGAGGCTGGCTGGCCAGTCTCCAGAGCTTGACGTTTTCATCGTCAAAGGGACAGGACTGAGAGAGATAACATTTCAGTTTCACCTGCAAAGGCCTTTCATTCCAGAAAGAAAACAGTGTCAGCATTACAGCCATGGGTTGACACATGGGTAAGTTCCCATTAGCAGCACGAAGGAGGCTCCCTTGCTAATCACAGGGAAAGTCAAATGACGGGAAAGGTTGCATGCCCAGAGAAACTCCCCTGTAATTTGTATTGTAATGAATTATTACCTTAACACAAGCATGTGCCAGCATCTAATTTGCAAGGCAGATGCCTGGCAGTTGACTTTAAAATCACTCTGGAATTATCCCTGTCTAAACTGGACAACCAGAAGTGTGACTGACCAGGGCTTTACCAAGTGGGAGTTACACAAAAGGGTAAACTGCGGACTGGGAAGTTCTGTGATCATGGAGGCGGGGGAGTCATGTGCATGGTAGTGCTGGATGCACCCGCGCTCTGCTTCAGGAGGAAGTCCTGCACACATTTTCTGCAACTGTTTTACAGACTGGACTGCACACTCTTCCACGGGGCTCTTTGTGCTAAGGGGCCTCCCCCATCTGTTCCTACCTTCAACGTAGGGCCAAGTCCAAGTGGAATGCAGCCTCTAAAAACATGATTGCTCCTAGACTCCTTGGAGCCAGACCATTGCTCCTTTCTATGTATCTCAGGATTTGTGGGGTCTTTTCATGCAGGTGGGAGAGGAATGGGCACTGGGGCAGGTGTGGTAGACATCAACAAAGTGGGAGTGTATGTGCCTGCATGTGTGTGTGTTTATGCCCTGCATTGTATCAGAATGGAAGAAAGGAAATAGCATGTCCATCTATTACCTCCTCTGTGGGCCTACCTCAATCAGCCACCAACACACATACACACCTTGTGTCCCCTTTGATGAAGAAATTAAGATGGCCCAAAGTGACTCATGTCACTTCCTTTCTGTGACCTGCAACTCCAAAAGGAGGAGAGGAGAGGATGAAAGAGGGGGTGAAGGCCCTTGCTCATGGTTTGGGGTGCCCCCCGCTTGCCTGCTCAGGTGCCTGTAAGCTTTGGCTCTCGGTCAGCCCTTTCCACATCTTCGAGGAGACTGTGCCTGACAGGGCTGGCTGGCTGGGTGCTTGGGTGTTCATGCTCTAATAAACCCAATCAGGAAGTTTCCAACTTGTCACAACACCACAAAGAGCATACAAGAAAATGCCGGCTCTCTTTTTTCTCCCTCAAACTTAGATTAACGCATTTAGGAGGAAGCAGAAATCCCTGGTGCCAATAAAACACATTTAAACATTTTACACACAACCCATGTTTCACAAAAGCATGACTCTTACCACTTTGGATGCATAGAATAAGATGGCAGGACCAAATGTTTCTGAGACCCGCTCTCTAATATTCTAACTCAATAGGTCTCATGCCGGGCCTGAGAAAGTGCATTTTCAGTAAGTGCCACTGCTGATGTTGATCAGTTCTCTAAGAAACTCTGGGTTAGCTGTAGGATTATAAGCATATGCTCAGAGTATAGCGTTTTTTTCTTTAAATAATTAAGAATCTTCTTTTTTTTTTGAGACAGAATTTTAGTCTTGTTGCCCAGGAGTGCAATGGTGCTCTGCAACGATCCCCGCCATTGCAACCTCTTGGCTCACTGCAACCTCTGCCTCCCGGGTTCAAGTGATTCTCCTGTCTCAGCCTCCCGAGTAGCTGGGATTACAGGCACATGCCGCCATGCCCTGCTAATTTTTGTATTTTTAGTAGAGACGGTGTTTCATTATATTGGTCAGACTGGTCTTGAAGAGAGACTTCTTGATGTGAACCTAAAATTGTGTGAGACTGAAGTGCTTGGTGGGCAGCTGACAAGCTTTGCCAGCCTCGTGTTCTCAGTGGAAATGCAGCATCCGAGCCATCTTCTCTTCTCCCCACTTGTGGTCAGCTCTAAATACCACACTCACAGCACTGGGGGAAGATATGTTTCCCTGTTTCAAGTGGGCTGTGGAAGTAGTGAAAGCCTAAGTAAACTCTGACCACTAGATAATGGGCCATTATAACTCTGGATGACTTCCTGAATGGCCCTAAAAAATGACTTCTCATTTCCTGTCTGTAGAAAAGAGAAATATTAGGATAGTGTTGTGTGCAAAGAAATGCAAGCTTGCAATAAGAGATGCAGAGAGTGAGGGAGAGAGGGACGGAGGGAGTGGAGGAGGGCAGAGAAACCGAAGTTGACTCAAGGCTTTCAAGGGAAAACAAAAGGAGGAAGAAAGCCTGTTCTCCCATGGGTCGTCAAACCCCACACTTCACACATCTTTCCCACGGGGCTGCCAGCTGTGGCCACATCACAGCTGTGCTGCCACCGGAGTGTGCTGCTTCCTCAGTGGGAGTGACTCAGCGTGGCCACCTCTGCCTCTGGAGGGCCTGTCTGCTGGCCAGCAGCGGCCACCCCAGACCGGGGTGAATGGGCAGCACAGTAGCCCGCCCAGGCAAGGCATGAAATTAACGAGGCAAAAGAAGCCGCAGAGAGATGAAAGCATGGAAGAAAAAAAGTCACCCTGCAGCTCATATTAAAACAGAAAACTCTGCTGCTATACTTGGTCTTATTCCAAGATGCTGCCAGGAAAGAACTGGCTCGCAGAGAAGCCACAGCTTCATTTTTTCCCATACTCAAGTGATACGTCTTTCCAGGGCTTTTTTCTTCAAAGGGAGCAAAATAATCTCACTTTTCTGCATTAGCATAGACTGTCCTTAAAATTTTTTTTATAGCCTGTACTGGCTGGTTGAGATACCAGCGGACAGTGTAGTGGATGAAGACTCTGGGGTGCAAGCCCCTGGCTGTCCTGGCTAGCTCTTTAACTCAGGCACGTGACTCACTGTCGCTGAGCTTCCCTCTCCTCAGCAGTAACATGGAAGTTCTGTGCAGAGAAACTGAGGCACTGTGGACACAAGATAATTCACAAAAATTGCACGGCATGGGACCTGGCACATAGTCAGCATTTGACAAACAGTGGCTCTCATAAAGTAGTTAAGACTGGTTTCAAACTATGTATCAGGTCTAAGGGAGGAAGAAGGGCTTGTAGGGGGTGGGGATTGCAGGGAATGGTCCAGTACAAATCATAGCCTTGTCAAAGCTGGAGCAGCCTGTTGAGGACATGAAACACGAAGCCAAATACCTGCACAAGCTCGAATTCTACTTCTGCCACTGCGTCATTTGGGCCATTGTGGCTCCTTCTTTCCTTATTTTTAGAAAAGCTGATGTGAGAATGAGCTGATTTAATGTGTAAAATACCTACTGCTGGCAGACAGAAGGCACCCACTACACGTCAGCTCTGTACTCTGCCCTGATTCTTTGCAAACGTCATTAGCAGAATTCCATCACACGCGTCTTTCTTTATGGTATGGCTAAAACTAGAATTCTAAATGTTCAAGGATTCTTGTGCAGTTACTCTTCAGCAGGAGTTTTCAGAAAGTGGGAGAAATATCATTTATGAAGTAGAACCCATGTGCTTTATTCTTTCCATATTATTATTATTATTTATTTTGAGACGGAGTTTCGCTCTTGTTACCCAGGCTGGAGTGCAATGGCGCGATCTCGGCTCACCGCAACCTCTGCCTCCTGGGTTCAAGCAATTCTCCTGCCTCAGCCTCCTGAGCAGCTGGAATTACAGGTGCATGCCACCATGCCCAGCTAATTTTTGTATTTTTAGCAGAGATAGGGTTTCACCTTGTTGACCAGGATGGTCTCGATCTCTTGACCTCGTGATCCACCTGCCTCGGCCTCCCAAAGTGCTGGGGTTATAGGTGTGAGCCACCTCACCTGGCCTTATTCTTTCCATATTATTAGGTTTTTATGATAATGCTTCAGAGATAAGACAGAAGGGGCTCTACGAGAGGGCGCACATGGCGGACCTGGGGTCTGAGGCCCTCCCTGCTTTCTGTGCCTGGAGCCCACCAGCATCTTGCTCACCATACTGCCTCCCCTGGGAAAAGAGATGCATGCAAATGATGAAGCATTCAGGAGCCACACAGAGGTTTTGTAAAATTAAGAGGATTTACATGAGTGCCTTGGAAAACGGAAAAGTCAGTGTCAACTCTGACACAGCAGGCATGATACCACTGATGTGTCTGCTGGCATTGTTTCCCAAATATCCTTCATGTGATTAAACACAACATGCCTGTGACATTGGTTTTTTTTTCTAGCCAGGCTGACTGTTTTCCTCAGAGGTACTGTAGGCTTCCAAAGGCTGCTGGTGCCCTGACTGTTAGCTCCTAAATGAGCATCTGATGCACAAGGACTGGGGAAGGGAAGGAGCCACTCTGGCATTTGAGTGTGCCCTTCCATAGGTCATTCCAGCAAAACTGTGCCTTCATCCCGGATGACTCTCCACTCACTGAGTGTGACAATGTGCCTGCCCGTGGAAGATCATGGATGGGGCTGCACTCCTCTGCTACTGAGAAGCTGGACCAAGAGAGCAGGTGCGTCCTGGAGGCTGGAATGAATGCTTAAGGGCATCTCAGGATTCCACTCCTCTGAAGGAAAAATCTAATATGCCAAATTCCTCTTCCTGATAAAAACCCTTTAAATATTTGAGGACGGCTATTGTAACTCCTCTTAGTTTTCTCCCAGATAAATATCCACATTCATCTTCATCCATTACTTGACTTTTCGCAAGTGCCTTCCCCATCTCTGACAATTCCAGTTTGTAAACATTCCTCCCATGTGTAGCCTCATAACTCAACACTTCTAATCAACAGAAGCTTGTCCAGCTTTACAATCTTTCTTACTGCAGCCTGACCCAAA